CAGTGAAAAAAAAATGTGGAAGGGAGTGAGAAATATCGATACACACGTGTGCGAAGTCTGGAGGACAATGATAATGAACTGACGAAGACGCACAAGTGGAAAAAAAAATACAACAAAATGTGGCAAAACAGAATCTATTCCCCCGGAAGTTGTTGGACATTTTATGCTCACGAGGTTTTTTTTTCCCCTCTCCTCCCTCGCATTCTGTATAAACTGATAGAAGGCCAAAGGCCAATGCGTAGTCGAGTGTGAGGAAAGACCCATGGAGATATGCCTCAGCATCGGTGGAAAAACCTCGTGGTGGGGTTTTAAAAAAAATAAAAAAAAAACACTACTATGTACCGACGTGTATTGAGTGACGTCATTATCTCAGTTGTTAATGTCGCGGATGCGCGATTTCTAATGTGGATGTTTCATACGGAAAAATTTATATTTTTCAAAATATCGGGGAAAATATTTTGAATAGGATTTGTATTAAATATTATGTGCAATATAGATGTAGATTGTTAATGAAATTTTCAAGTTCAATTGACATTTTTTTATTTTTAGTCAGACTGACAGGAAATTTAGGAATTCTTGGGGAAAGAATCAAAAATTATGGAAATATTGAAAATTGAAATTTTGGTGAAAAGTCAGGAATTGTTTTTAATTGGATGTTTCATACGAAAAAATTTATATTTTTCAAAATATCTGGGAAAATATTTTGAATATGATTTTTGTTAGGAATTAAATTAAAAATATAAGTAATCTATTAGTGAAATTTTCAAGTTCAATTGGAATTTTTGTATTTTTAGTGATAGAGTAACTGGAAATTTATGAATTCTTGGGGAAAGAATTGAAAATTACGGAAATATTGAAAATTGAAATTTTGGTGAAAAATCAGTAATTGTTTTTAATTGGATGTTTCACACGGAAAAATTTATATTTTTCAAAATATCTGGGAAAATATTTTGAATAGGATTTATGTTAGGAATTACATTCAAAATAAATGTAATTTATTAGTGAATTTTCAAATTCAATTGACATTTTTTTATTTTTAGTCAGAGTGACAGGAAATTTAGGAATTCTTGGGGAAAGAATCAAAAATTACGGAAATATTGAAAATTGAATTTTTTTTGAAAAATCAGTAAGTGTTTTTAATTGGATGTCCCACGCGGAAAAATTTATATTTTTAAAAATATCTTTTGGAAGATATTTTTAATGAAATTTATGTCAAAAAAAATTTATGAATTTATTTATGAATTCTTGGGGAAAGAATAAAAAATTACGGAAATATTGAAAATGGAAATTTTGTTGAAAAATCAGTAATTGTTTTTAATTGGATGCCCCACACGGAAAAATTTATATTTTTAAAAATATCTTGTGGAAGATATTTCCAATGAAATTAATGTCAAAAAAAATTTTTAATGAAAAAACGACGAATATATTGAAAATTCAAATTTTGTTAAAAATTCAATTGGAAAAAATCAATTATTTTTTTATTTATATTAAACTAGATTGAAAGCAATCCAAAATATTTTTGAATTAAGTAACCAGTCGATTAATTTAAGCTTTCAATGGATTCGCGCCAATTTACTGCATCCTAACAAATATCCAGTAAAACCAAATAAATAAACTCTTAATGAAGTTCCCTAAAATCAGAAACAGACAGAAACCTGAATGATTCAATTCTATTACATCAATCTTCTGTGTCTATTGAGAAGTTAAAAAATATTTCTCTCATCTTAATAAACAAAAAAAAGAGGTCAAATTACCAAATAGTTTGTAATTAAAATACACCCTCAGACATATTCCAACAAACATTAATTTCCCATTAGAATTCCTGCAAACAAATAAAATTCCAATCGTCCTCCAAAATGTCAATCACTTATTTTAAACAAATTCAAGCAATTCAATATCTTTATCATTTTAAATTCATTAATTTAATTTGTTAATTTCGAAACCGCTGTCTTTTTAAACATTTTTTTCTCAGTTTTAGTGGTGGATGATGAGTTTAGGTTAGAGTTTAGATAGTAGAGGGATTTGAAATGGATGCCGGCCGGCTCTAAACTCTATCTTTGGCCACAGTGGGGAACTCATGCTTCCCACATGGCTTTTTAAACCCAACAATCTATCTAGCTTCTCCATTCCTCCACTCAATTCCCATCCAAGTAGCGCCTCTCATCTCCAACTATTCCACTTGTGCTACTAATTAATGAATCGCATAATCATGTTTATTTTCTCCGGCATTCTCACACTGATTGATCAATAAGTAATTGCCCCCTCCCACAATTTCCCAGTTTATCAACAGATTTTTCGTCTCTAATTACTAGACTCCATTAATTAGGAATCAATATTAATTATTTTATTCGACTGAGGGAGTAGTTAATTCTGGATTTATTTAGGTTAGTCGAGGTAATTTATTTATTTTATTTGAAGTCTTGAAAGTTTTTACTAGACCAGCTGATACTTCTCAAACTTTCGACTTCTCTAAGCATCAGTATCACGAGGACTTGCCTCCATTTTCTAACGGGAAAACATTAACGGAAAATTACTATTGAAAGAGGTGAGTCTATAAAGTAACTTGAGGGAATTTAACTTTTTTTATAAAACTCAATGCTTGCATATCTACGCTATCAACAAATTACAATTGGAATTTTTAATAACGACGAGTTAGCATTTTTTTTATTGGTGAATCAGTGAATTTCTTGAATATTCAATTAATTCTCGATTAACATTAAAAATATGGAAAATTCTGTCAATAATTTTTCGAAATTTATAATATATTGGAAATTGAATTGAATTTTATGTTGAATAAAGAAAATTGTTGATCGTTTAATGGATAAATTCGATTTTCATAAATTTTCATTGCGGATGATAAATCTGAAAAACCTCTGCAATTGTTTCGTGCATTGTTTACAAATTCGACAAATAAATATAATAAATAATATAAATGATTTATTGATTTTTTCCAAGGGTCTGTACGCAATTTTATAAAATTGCACTCAATATTTTTTATAACAACACAAGCCAACAGGAAAATTCCTCCAATTTTCTTCTAATAACTATTAGATCAATTAATGAATTACATTACAATTACTTGACAGACTCAACCCACCAGAGTAATTAAAAAACTGAATTGATAGTTTCCCAGAAAAAAATGCCGCCCCAAAAATGTGACCAATTGAATTTATTTATTTTTAATCTAAATGTAACAAAAAATAAAAAATTGTCGCATACATATATGATATATTTATATAAATATCTTCATTATGTATACATAATGAAGATATTCATTGATTTTTTTTGAGCTTATCCCCCAAGTGGTAGTTCTCAAAATTTCAAGATTTCTCTCAATAAATGAAAATAGTAAACTGGAAAATTGAAGGAGGAAAATATATAGAAAAAGGATAAAAGCCCAGGGTCTGTCATCACTTGAAATTGCACATGCGCAACGAATAAATAGGCCACCTACTCGGTGTTATACGCATTTAGGAACGAGGTCACGAAAATAATATTTCCCATCTCAACCACGAGGATGATGCATCAGGCGGTAGTAAAACGAGAAGAATCATTGGGTTATTAAGAAAGAGAGACAACTAACGGGGAATGTCGAGGATGTGCATTTAGTTAATCTATTTTCTTCTTTCTCTCAGCTATATGCAAGAGTCATAAGAGAGTGGACACGGTGTGTTATATTATGGAGAGAGGGACAAACTTCCGTTGGGAATGATACGTGTACCGGGCATTGGCTCGTTTGGGAGGTGCATCCGGTTGTACTTGTACTTTATTTTATCGGTACATCGATACCAACTTATTCCCCATCATTTCAAGTCCAACAACATTCACTACTTTTTTATCCCCAAAGTACTAGTAAAATATTATTTTCTAAAAGACTTCGAGCAAGGGCACCATTATTACTAGTTTTAGGAAACCAATGTAAAATTCGTTAATTTGTTAAAATTTGTAAAGCTTTACTGTAGGACCTTATAACTTCATATTTTTATAGGGGGGAGACAGGGAGGGGGACAAAATGTAAAAGCCCGAAAGGTATACTGAATAAAAATAAAAATACTAGCATTTTCATGTGCGAATTTTTAGATGGTGTCTGGATGATTCCGTTTTGTACATAGACTCAGTCAAATTTCAATAATTTTTATGTGAATATGAACTCTAGTCGTTGGTACTGAGACTTTAATTTATTGGATTTTGGGAAATTTAGGACTTTCAGATATTGATTGATCAATGATTCTTTAATTACTTGTTGGAAGGGATTTAATGATCGTTGAAAGGTTGGAATGAGCGGTTTTCAAATGCTCATGTTGAGAGGATTAACTTTTTGTTAATGCTTTCCTGGAAGGCTTAATTGAATTTCACGAATTTTTCCATGAATGCAGACTTCAATAAACTCGTTTAATCGATACCAATTAAAAGGTAATTTGTGATAGGCTGTGAGATATTTATATATTTTTTAAAATCGAATTTTCAATGATTCCTTGAAAAATTGTTTTTTACATGAATTTAATTATAGTATATTATTGATATCGCTCGTTTCTTCAAATATAAAATAATTTCTATTGAAATTAAGATATTTTTGAGAATTATTGTTATTAATTATCCAATGCCAAGTGAGTGGCGACTTTATTAGCAACAATAACTTTAATAAAGAAAATCTGTGATAGATTTTTCGAGAATATCTCCGAAACTAAAGGACGTATAAAAATTCTCGTAATAACCTTTTTCGTAGTTCTCTATAAGCTCTACAAAAAAGGTTCCGACAAAAATCCGGGATCTCTGTTACCCTCCGAGATATTTCCAAAAAAAAACTCACCGAAAATGTGATTTTCAAATTTCGAAACGTTTAAGAATTATCTATAAATAAACTTTATATCCAACAACTAAATAAATCCGAATATCAGATGTAACTGAAAAAACATTGACATTCGTAATTTTTTGTTGTTTAAAAAAAAAACAGGGAAATAAATGTTTTTAATTTTATACAACAAACAAGAGGTACTCACCTTTCTGTCTTTAGTCGGTAGAATTTTCACCTCAACTTCCTTCTGATGTTCTTTATGCTGTATAACCTCAGCCTTAACTTCTCTACTATTGTGAGTAAAATAAACGGTCTGTCCAGGTAGAAGACGTACATGATTGATACATCCAAATCCACGTCCAATGAGATCACGTTCAAGATATTCTGTTGTAGAAATGGGCGGTTGTTTTCCACCAATTTCATCAAATTTCACTGAATAAAGTGTCTCAGGAGTAAGACTCAAACCGGCATCACCAGTTGCTGATGCCGGTGTCTTAATAGCACGAATTGTTCCACCGTAATATTTACCATCAGTACCAGGTGCTGCAACTCGTGAACCAATTATACTACGTTTTGCCAAACGCTTACCGACCGACATCATTACTAATTATTCACTCAGTCTTCCACACAATAAAACAATAAACCACTGATTCGCTGATCATGTATTCCCAAAAGCGGACTAAATCCACTGGAGTTCGTTTATTCCACCAGCACTTCACAAGTTCAATCACCAACTCAATAATTGATTAAAAAAAAAGAACCAAAAAAAAAAAATCACCGAAAACTATCAAAAAGCGAGAACCTGTCCATCAACACATGCCCTCATTATCAATTTTCCTCTTCCCTCATCCCACACATATCACTACCATCAATACTGTCATCAATTACCATCAGAATCGTCACTTCACCAATATCTCACAAAAATTATCCGCAATATTCAACCGTCGAATTCAAAAGCGTCACACAGAGACGCGTGTCGGCAAATGGTGCCGGTTAGGCGATACAAATGTATATTAACCGGTACAAAAACGTAATTTCTCACGCACTCATAATTCCCAAAATCCAAGCCCACACGCTTCACCATAATACATAAAAAATCACAGGCCGTAGAAACCGCTTATGATTCACTTATCCCTGGATTCACTGAGTACTCCACTCGTGTCTGAAACTGTTGAAAAAAACCAAGTTGATAGCAAAACGAAATGAAACCAAAAAAATAGATTTTTTTTTTCAAAATAGAACTGGTCAATTGCAGTTGATGTGTTAAGCACGGCGGAAGGAACGCGAAAGGAATGCGCCGGCTAGAGCGCGTGGTGCTTCAGGGTGCCTCTGGATTTCTTGTACCTCGAAGTAGTAGTTGTCTATTGGTGTGTAGAACGACTACTGGGTAGTTGGTGGTGGTAATGGCCGTTCCCCCACAACTGGCATCGAGGATAAAGGGGATAGAGGGGGTAAATAAGTAGGAGGGGAAGGTGATGATATTTTTGGTAGAGGGGGACTTAAGATAATGATGAATATTTATAGATAGAATATTTATGATGATATTAAACGATATTTTTATTAAAAATTCATAATTCCGTGTATTTACCGTGAAATATTGAGGGTGAAAATGGGGACATGTGACGCACAGCTGAGACGACCGGTTGAAACTGTGAGACGCTCACGACGCGCACCAGGAGCTTTCACTGTTGGTGTTGGCTGCCGGCCGGTTCTCTCCATTCGCCCGCGTTTATTTGCCGCTCACCGCGCACCCGCCCGGGTAAAACAGCTGATAGATAACAACAAACCCATGTGATCACCGTCCCTGAATTATCATTGGTCAATTCGTATGACCTACTTAGTCCCATTGGCTGAGGCCGTCTCTCGAGGACGGGAAAAATAGTACAGAGACCCTAAACAAAGATCATAGCCAAACGAAAACCCTCCATTCCCTCCATTCCCACCATTCCCTCCATTATCCCCTAACTCCCCGCCACATCCCCCACCCCTTAACCATCGTCACC